AGACTTCATTTCCATATCACTATTATCAATTTTGCAAAGGTCATAGGAATTAACACCTTCAACTAACTTTCGTTTACATCGGAAACTGACAATAACAGTCTGACATTTCGAAGGACTTAGTTTAAGAGCATGTTCTCACTCCTAATAGAGAGCTGTTCATCTTAGTACAGTGTAGCTGGCAGTTAACAGACATTGAAATAGTTAGATCGTCCGCGTGCTTGAAAAAGTTCTTTTCGTATGCATTCGTACAATAAGTTCATCAAACAAAAATACAATTGGTTATGGACGACTTCCCCCTGACCTACAGTGTACTGCTTTCTCCCTGATAAATAAGAATGAAGCCATCTAACAGTCCAATACTCAGTTTGAGTTTCAGCAAGCTTATCTAACAGAATATCTCTGGGTACTGAGTCGAAAGCAGATGTGTATTCTAGGAAGGTGCAGCGAATTTAGCCCCATTGTCTATACTGGAGAAAATGTTGTGAAGCAAGACTGCAGCTGCATCTAAAGTACGTCTACTGTGTTTATAGGAGAACTGTTTGGGATCGTTAAAGGCTCTGAGTGAGGGTTAAAGATTAAGTAAGAGTAACTTTCCCTTAGTTCGTATATACCTCATTTGATTTGAAACAAAGGGTGTAGTAACTGCACCTGAAGGCAAACCATCCCCACTGAGGGTAACATTGGGCTCTACCGAGGATGTTGAAAAAGTGTTACTGGCTTCTCAAGTCCTTTCTATAGGGAGGGCCTGTAACATACGTGTTAAGCCAGACAGGCCGTGGAAGGAAAGACAAATGGCGAGGGAGTCGCCAGAGCTCATTCCTTCTGCCCCCATGGTTGTGCATGGCATTCCCGAACTGGTAACTGGGAACGCCTGCGAAAAGCATTGTCATGATGTACAACAATGGAGATGGTTAGCATCCCAGATGGCCCTAGGAAGTTCAGGGGCTGTCTCTATTTATAGACTGCCTCGACCCACTCATCTTATGTCAATTAACTCGCCACGTCTGTTAGCTGTCAAGTTCAGCTCCCAAGACCAGTTGAATACCGCTCTCCATAGATGGTACGAGACCAAGGACAAGGTCAGCAAACACATTCGCTGCTGCGAGAGCCAGCCTCGCACTCAAAGGAGAGAACAAAGCGTAGTAAAAGAAAATCCTCAACCCCTAGTCACACTACAGCGGTGCAGCACTGACGATGATAGCCAGTGTCATCCGAGTGCTCCAACTGAACTAGAAGAAAAAAACGCCAACAGGCCGGTTCCTGGGGAATCGGCCAACTAGTTCGTAGGATAACTCCTCAACCGATAGCCAATATCAAGTCAACTACCCCCCAATACGGGGAAGTGGTGAGACTGACTACCAGTTGCCTGTATAGTAATGTGAGAGGGCTAAGAGGCAAAATAGCTGAACTTAGACACCTACAATCACAACTAAACTCCAAAATCATAATATTGACGGAAACCTGGCTAACCCCTACGGTGGCAGACAGCGAAGTCAGTATAAATGATATGGTCCTAGTCAGGCAAGATAGGGACCTGAAAGAAGGAGGTGGAGTCGCCATATACGTCGACAAACAGCTCAGATGTGTTCACGCGACGGACCCTCCCCTCACAGAGCTCCCTGACTCCATATGGTGCCACTTCACCGTTGGGTACTGCAAATATCTAGTGGGCAGCATTTATCGATCACCTTCATGTGGAGCAGACCCTAACCAGGTACTGCTAAATACAATTTCAACGACTCAAGACATGGGTTATGATCAAATTGTCATAGCTGGTGACTTCAATGCCCCATCTCTTAACTTGGTGTCGGGAAAAGCCCATGATAGATTTGATCGAAATCTGCTGCATACCATCAGGAAGGCTGGATTCACTGAAAATGTCAAGATGGATACTAGATGGGGCCCTGATGGGAAGTCTTCTAGACTGGATTACGTGCTCACTAGTGACCAGCTACTAGTGGAAAACGTTCAGATCACGACTCCCATAGGTAGTAGTGACCACGCGGTCATAGTATTCGACATAGTCCTCCGCGAGCGCTTACAGTGGGACAATACACAGCCCTATCTGTGTTATAACAAAGCCAACTACACCAAAATGCGAAGACTTCTGTCTGAAGCAAATTGGCCTAAAAAATGGACAGAGCTAACAGTAGAAGAACACTGGAGAGTGGTAAAGGAGATCATTCACCAGGCGGTCTCAGACACTGTTCCTTTAGTCTCACCAAAAGCTAGGAAGCAACGATCATGGCTGAAAAGGGGACACAACGCCTTCTGCAGGCAAAGCGTAAAGCCTGGTTCGCGTGGCGACGATCGAAGAGTCAACCCGAATATGAAGTGTACCTTGAACTCAGGAATCGATGTAACATACGAGTCCGGAGCGATAGAAGGACATTTCAGGGAGACCTCGCCAATAAGCTTCTCGTGAACCCCAAAAGCCTATACAGGTTTATGGCCGAAAGAAAACCGACCAACCAGGGAGCATGCAATCTAGTGGGTTCTGATGGGAAATCTCTTACTAGTCTTGAAATGGCAGAGACATTCAGCCTAGCCTTTCACAGGCAACTAAATAGTAACGAGGATATTACCCCTACAGAACATCCAGATTACATCGCAAAACCAACACACGAAAACCTGCTGGGGACATTTCAAATTACCCCGGCTATGGTACTTGCAAAATTGGGAAGGTTGGCTTCGGGAAAGTCTCCAGGTTGTGATGGCATCAGACCATCTGTCCTGAAGCAGTGTTCAGAAAGTCTCTGTCAACCCCTAAGTGATCTGTTCCAACACTCCCTTGATGTAGGGAAACTTCCATGTGAATGGAAACGTGCAATCCTATCCCCTATCTTCAAGGGTGGTGACCGGCAGAATGTGACCAGTTACAGACCAGTTGCTCTACTTCCAGTGGTATCGAAGATATTGGAAAGTCTCATTGACGACCACATGAGAAAATACTTCGATGGGACTAACCTTCTTCACGAAGCACAGCACGGTTTCAGGAGGGGAAGATCCTGCGTGACGAATCTTCTACTAGCCTGGAACGATTGGACACTATCCTGGGACAAAAAGGTACCAGCCCACGTGATCTTTCTCGACTTTGCGAAAGCATTCGACACAGTTCACCATGGTCTGCTCCTTCACAAAATAGGCAAGGCGGGAGTTTCTGGAGCACTTCTCGCATGGCTGACAGATTACTTAGGCGAGAGAGAATTCTGCACCAAAGTCAACCGCATCCGATCATCCTGGCACACCTCGGCATCAGGGGTTCCTCAGGGTTCTATCCTAGGGCCGTTGATGTTTTTGATTTTTATCAATGACCTGCCCCCCAACTAAACTGCTCTGCGCTTCTTTACGCTGACGACGTAAAGATTTGGAGAGCAATAAACTCATCGGAAGACTCAGATAGATTGCAGGCTGACCTGCAAACTCTGGGAAATTGGGCTTTGGCTAACGGAATGCCTTTCAATCTAAAGAAGTGCAAAGTAGTGCAGCTTCATTCCGGCAGGTCACAGAGTGTAAATTACACCCTTGGTGGCCAGAACTTGAGTTGTGTTCCATCAGAGCGTGATCTAGGTCTTATTCTAACAGAAAAGCTAGACACCAGTGGAAATTACTCGAGGGACGTCGCCAAAGCCTACGCAACATTACACTTTATGCACAGGCAGCTGGGAGCTCTCACTCCCGAACTGTTCTTAAGGCTATACAAGGCATATGTGAGGCCACACCTTGAGGTGCATAATATCATTGCACCTCCGCTACTCAAAAGGGATGCTAACATTCTAGAAAGTGTCCAGAGACGAGCGACAAAATGGGTGATCGGCCTCCGCAACAAATCATATGAGGAAAGACTAAAGAAATTAGGTCTTTTCACACTTAGTTACCGTAGGCACAGGGGAGACCTCATCACCGTCTACAAGATCCTAAATGACCAGGCCCACCCAAATAAAAGCATCCTGCCATTAAGCGATTATAGGCTTCCACGAGGTAACCCGCTAAGGATAGCACACCAGAGACCAAAGACTCGAGTGCGATCACATTTCTTTTCGCTTCGTGTTTGCCGTCTCTGGAACGCTTTACCGGCGGCCGTGACTACAGCGCCATCTCTGGAGATTTTTAAGCGGAAGCTAGACAATCATGCAGAAATGCAAGGTTTGTGTCTCAATGGCTTATCCTCATAAAATTTGAAACCAAACTGTCAATGAATAAGCGTACTAACTAAATCCCCACGACCTATTCTGCCTTCTCTCACTCTATCTTTTCCTTAGGTCACCTTTATTATTCCACTTATCTCAACCTATATTATCTACACTACAACCTATTATTATTATTATTATTACTATTCTGCTTTTATGACTACACCGAATGACCAAGGGGAGTTAGGTCAAACTCCATTCACGGCAGCAATACAGTCCTAACATACTGCATACTACAAACCACATCTCGACCAATCCCCGCACCACTCCTCCTGGAGTCTACCAGAGCTAAAGCAGTCGAGTGTCGGGACTTACTACGCAGAAGCTCACCGAAGATCTGGAACCTCTACCTCACAATCAAGAAGCGAGCTCAAAGAAATCACTGGTTTATACTAGCTCGTAATCAGGATATTGGATATTGGATATTGGAACCTATATTATCTACACTACAACCTATTATTATTACTATTCTGCTTTTATGACTACACCGAATGACCAAGGGGAGTTAGGTCAAACTCCATTCACGGCAGCAATACAGTCCTAACATACTGCATACTACAAACCACATCTTGACGAATCCCCGCACCACTCCTCCTGGAGTCTACCAGAGCTAAAGCAGTCGAGTGTCGGGACTTACTACGCAGAAGCTCACCGAAGATCTGGAACCTCTACCTCACAATCAAGAAGCGAGCTCAAAGAAATCACTGGTTTATACTAGCTCGTAATCAGTATATTGGATATTGGATATTGGACATTGGATATTTGATTGATCATTAGACGGTTGTTATGTCAACAAGGAGTGTGTAAATTATGCCAAACTTAAATGAAAGACAGAATCTTTCAGATGGTTTGAAAAATGATGATCTTTTCAAGACATCATATGGGGTTGGACATCATTGGAGACCTGGATTTTACTTTCCGGATTCTATCACCATGGTACTGTAGTATATATCTGAATTATTTATCATACCTTTAAGTTGAAACTTAACAATGTAGAGCCTTGTGGTATAGAAAATGAGTCCCAAGTGAAAGCTGCGGATCACTTTCAAACAACAAATAGTTCTGTCCACGATCAGAAGATTCTCCCAGAAATTCTAAAGAGCTCACACAACCCACCTCCACCTCACCACTGGGATCTTCATTATATAAATGATTTCCGTTCACGATATCTTGCCGGAGGGTATAGGAGGCCTTTAAGTCCAAGTCAACAAACAACAGAGATGAAAGATTCATTCAGAGGTGCCGAAGGCCCCAGTGAGTTGTGGCGCCCCTTATCAATGAAACCTTTTGAATTGGAAAATCACCATACGGATGGACCATCAAAGGTAAATCCTTCCCACCATAACTTGGAACTTTAAGAAAATTATCGCATCTACGGAAAACCCGGATTTATCTAGGCGAATACTGTATCCTAAAGACAAAGAGATATTCAGGAATCTAGATCCATATCTCACAACTAATATGAAGGATCACAGGATGTGGACACGCGAAGAATTAAATGATGTGGCGAAAAATAGAATAGCAACCTACTGGAATTTGAAGGAATATCCCGAGTCAAAAGGTTTTGGATTATCTCCGAAGTGAGTCATCTCCAAACCACATTGTTTCTAAACATTTTATTATGCTATTGTTTGTTTCACGTGTTCTGGATCAAATATCGGCCTCAACAGCACGTATCCATTCTCTGTCTTTATTTTCAGCTGCCTTGCGACTGGCCAAGGCTTTCATTCACTCGTCTAATGATCTCCTCCAAGTCTTTTTTGGACAATCAACTGGTCACTTCCATGTTGTATTACTCCTTGAAAGTTATGAATTCCATATGGATATTAAAAGGCACTTCATTTGTTTTCGGTATCAGAAACCGTCGAAAATAGAATAGGTATTTGGGTGCATTAAACATTACGGAACTAAGAACATCGTTTCTCAATCAAAGAGTATACCATCCAATAGGTAGATAAGTGAGACAAAACAAGCGTCGAATACTCGAATTTAATTCACTTAAAACTTACTCCAAACACTTTTACTTCATCATATAAACACGCCCTAAACGAACTGACCAGTGTACATTTGGAATAAATCTACCACGTATCACTTCATAATTACATTATTGTACAAAGTTTATTGTTGTATATCAGTCTTCTAAGGGGTTAATTGTTGTCGTTACACTCATGCCCACAAACAATAAACTTAGAATGAAAATTGAAGAAATACAGAGCAATTATGCTCTTCACGAAATGTTAAGTTATTTAGAACTGTGACAACTCTTGTCAAATCACGAAGTATTCAGAAAATACATGGAGGAACCGCATATTGGTTGAATAGGTGAATCGTTAAATATAAGGTCAGTTCTCTGAGCTTTTCATGGAGTTTCATCAGAAATTTTAATCACAACCCATTAGGTAGTACTCACGTACAACTGAACTACAAACATATAAAAAAGTCAGTACATCAACTGTTTTGATTAAAATCTTGCAAATATTTTATGTGTTTCGCAGGAAGAATACGGACAATTTCCTGTTGATTCCTAGAGAGCAAAAGAATAACATTGCCACACTGGACTCTAATTGAGCTTTTGAGTTTCAAATTTATGTATATGGTTGGTTGTGAAAATGGGCGCAATCACTCGCCAGACATGACAAGTGTGAATGAATTTGCACTTATTTATATCCATAAGTTATTAATTTATCATAATGGCTTCATTACTTAAATTTCAAACGTATCTTAAATCCTGGTAAATCTAACAAACAGACCACACTTTTCATGAGTCCTTCAAGATATGTGCTAAGTTCCAATGAATAGTAAGGAATCTAAACTGGTCTCAGTACTAAAAATCTATGCGTTTATTAGTGTACTACGAACTGAAAGAAGTGAACTGTATGCATGAACATTTACTGAGTAGAACAGAAAATGTTGGATTTGTTTTAGAATATCTTAAAATTGACTACAGTAGTTCGAAAGTATTTATTTCTTTATCTTTCATGGCGTAAATTTTATTACTTCATATTAAGGTTTTGCCCTTTTCCTCAAACTCTTTGTCATTCCAGTTCTCCATGGTCTTTGCATCGCTAATTATTCTTTGAGGTTCTGCCAAAAGTTGTTTCGCTTTTTATTCATGACAGTGTAACTCATTTAAATCATTCTTAAGCCTTCACGTAATAAGTTGAGGTAGAAACTAATCATAAGGCGAAATAATTGAATTGCATCAGTGTCATAATTTCTAAAGTCATTAACTTCTTTTGGCTCCCTCGTCCTTACACTATATCTCAGATTTCTCTGCTTTAATAAATCAAGGTGAGTAGTTACATGTCATCAGTTATGTGTGAAGATCAGATGCAAACAGAACTTATAAAATGTGCAAAGTAACTAATTAAAAGTAAAGGTGGAATTCCTAATGTGATATTGAATCACTGTATTACATTCACACTTTTATCTGTTTTAAGTGGGAAATAGAAATTTTTTTACTTCGAGGCCTACAGCTTAATTTAATTCATCGTATAACGCGACTAGTGGTAAAGTGAATAAAAAAAGTAAAAGGCAGAGATAATTCTTATACTCAGCAATCATTGCTTTGGCACTTTCTAATTCCAACAAACATTTCGGCCTTCGGCACATGGTTGTTCCACTGAACCAAAGAGAATCAGTAGCCTAAAAGCACGAGGAGATAACAAAACTTTGAATACGATTGTAGGACTCGTCCAGAAGGCAGGACACTTTCCTTATTTCAGTCATTTTTGGCAACAATAACAACAACTGCTGAAGTTATACCAGTGTTAAAGGAAGGTGGCACGAGATCCTGAAGGCATTCTGGCGGTGCCAGTAAACCTATCAGATGATTTAAATATGAAGGTCTTAGATTTAGAGAGTATACAGTTTTTTGCTAGTTGAATTCTTTTTGAGGCTTGACTGTTTAGTATTTGCGACCAGATATGGGGTATACAAGAACCTGACTAATTTTAGGGAAAATATCGTCACCAACAAACATTAGTTAAGAAGACGTTAAAAACTGGTGGTAGTCACGCTAAAACATGGTACTGGTCAATGAAGTCTCTGATAATTGTTTTGAGCCATCTATGACGTTGTTGGCTTTCTGGTTGGGGTCCTTAAAACGCTAAGAATCAATGCCTGGAGACTATTAGTGAAATGACTTAAAAGCGTTTTTAGTAGCACAGTTGAGTTCAATCTTTGTGCTATTACAGTTCCATTAAATTCTCGTTACTTTTCATGTAATTAGTCCGCCTCTCATTCATTTTTGTTTGTTATAGTTTCTCTACGGTTATTTTTTCTATCTACATTTATAAGTACTTTTATGAAGTGTGCCAGCTTAGACTTTCACAGTGATTTTGTAAATTTCTACACTGAAGATTTTAGCTCTTCAATTCACTGTCAGTAAATACCACAGATGAATATTCTCACAATAAAATGAAATATTTTCCCAGTGTTGTTTGCTTTTTAGTGCTTTTCTAACAGATGTCGATTTGTGACGAAATTTACCATGGTCTTCATGATGTTCAAAAGCATTAAGCGGATGGCTAATTAGCAGAGTGAGATACAACATGGATTAGGAAAATCCATAAAGCGTTTGTTTGTTATACTCACTTAATTTCTTTACAAAATAATCATACTATGACAGAAATATGTTTCCAAGACTTTCTAATCACCTTCAAGAAGGAATCCTGTAGCCTGTCATTTTATTTTTAAAAGCAAAACTGTGAAACTTATCCAGTTGTATGAAAATCAGCCGTGGTGAATCCTAACGAAAAATTTCGAGGAGAGTTTAGACTTTTAGGGAATCACAAAGTGGAACGTGAAATGTAGAAGTGATAAACTTCATCAGCTAGCTGCATTATACAAAACATTCAGTCGTTTAGATTTTGTTTTGGCCCTTCGAATGTGAGAAATTCTGCTTCCATTCACTCACTTTTTATAACCTCTGGCTTTCTATTATCTCTCTAGTGCTCCTCATCATTTTATTTACTCTGTTACAGTATTCTACTTAACCAGTAGATTAGTTAGTTTATCAGTGGGTTAATTAGCCAATGTAGACAAACGGATCTTTTCTATGTTCTGTATTAATCCTACTTCAGCCAATATTGCTCATCGAAGCATTCAGTGGTTTGGAGTCCATAGCTCATATCTGACTCAACTAAATTAAACATGTAGATTCGCAACTTGGACCAACTTACCCATCTCAGTTGATACCCTTTGCTTTGTAACAGCTTCCCCTACCTTGTTGTTACACTTAACATGAGCAACTGAACTAGAGTACCTTGAACCTAAATCCTGTAATTTAGTATATATTTATCCATCCATAACGACTGTTAGTTAGACGCCTTGTCCAAAGTTGATATAGTCTTCCAAATTCCAGAAAAAAATTTTTTTACTCCCCATATTATACAACTAAAGTGGGATTAAGGTGGGAAATCCAGACATTTTTTTAGCCCACGAAATGGTGTCAGTTTACTAAACAACTTACTCTTAATTTGATTCGTGTGACTGGTTGTAGCTCACCTGGCTGGAGTGCTCATGAAAAACGATTTGTAGTCATAATTCTAATCGAGACGTCATATTTATTTATATATATGCGTCCTTCGTTTCTTTCTTCCGTTTTCTATTGCCTGCTTTATCCATTTCCATGAATTCTCTTTTTTATCGCTTCATACTTAATGTGAAAACTTGAAATGAGGCTACGATGTGGCAGAATTAGCCTTTGTGTGCATTATATCCACCTGTATCCCGAGTGCAAATTATATCCAACTTTCTACACCTACAGAAGCGGTCGAATTTTTCAGATGTTCAAAAGCGATTGAAAAGTAGGCCTAAGTTTCTGTTGCCTGAATATAAATCTTCTATAAGAACAGAATAATTTAATTTGATAAACAACATACTGATGTAGCATCATTCATTTACTGACGATATTTCGAGGACAATCTATTGTTCATAATCCTATCATAGTGCTCACTTAACATATAGTTTTTGTTTATGTAGTTCTATTGTTTGTTATCGTATGATTTTATTGGTAATACCATTTTATATACCTTTGGTATCGGTGTTGTGTCATTTCGATTGCACATATTAGATGCAGATTCGATGATGAACAGGGAGGGATTCATTGGTCAACCCCTCAGACCATCTAATTGCATTACTCTTTAGAAGTGCAGTTCCGTTCCACTCTACTGTGTGATTGTTTTGTATAAGTATATGCACTGAGATTGTTCAGTTACTGATACCAGTGACATGGAAATTATTATTACCTATAAAATCAAAGGATATGAAATAATGAAATTATATAAAAATGTTTAGACGTCTTATGAGTACCTTGATATCATTTGATCAATACATCGCGATCAAAACGTTATCAAGTGAGTAAATAATAATGCACTACTGCGTGTCTCTATAAAATAGAATGATTCTGTCACAATGACCAAATTCTTTCCACATTTTTAAATTAACTGTTTTCAATTTCCTATTGCTTGTTAAAAAGAATAGTATTTTAAAGAATTTTTTATTCCACACAGTCCATTGCCTAAGGATGGTATTAAAAATGAAAAACTGCCTATGCGTGATACACTTCAGTTCAAATATGCCACAGATCACGTACGTGTGCGACCGATCTCTTATCATGTGCCACATACGTGAGTTTTTCATTTTTGATTGTTTGCGGTGTTTAGTTACTTAAATTCTACAAGTCGTATGAGTATTGTGGTGAAAGCACTATCGTTTCATTGGCGCTTTGCATGCATATACTGCATAACCTTCTTAAACTTTTCCTTCACGTTCCCAGTGGAACATAGGGCTTCAAGCCTCCAGCTTGAAGTTTCTGTAGCAGTGTTTGTTTTTACAGGATAGGGTTGCTACCCTCATGTCCAACCTTTCCTCTTTACCAGCTTTATTTCTGGTTTACTGAGGTAAAGGAGTGCGTCGGCCGGGGATCGACCCCAGACCGTGTGCATGGTCGGTGAGTGTCCTAACCGCTATGCCACCGACGCATGCATAACCTTCAGGATGTGTTTATTCATTTCAAGAATTTTATGGGATCCGCGTGCTTTCTGAATTTTCAGGATACTAGGCGCCTACTTTGTTATATTTTAGAACTCTTCAAGAGTAGGTATTCATAAGATTGAGGTAAACAACTGAGGAAAGCTAGGCTACAAGGGGAACACATCACCTTTCAATTGCTCAGTTGTAATCTCCGCTCTCTTTTAATAAAGCATGTTTGAATGTATCCACCAATCTTCTTCCCAACTGATGATCTGACTCTATATAATTATAAGACTGTATTATGCTGTATGGTCTGTTAACTATTTTAGATAACTCGATATTAAGAAAAATAACAAATTGTACTTCTTATTGGAGTAATGAAATGAATATTTATCCTTTGCAACGTCTTTTTATTGTAACAGACTTAAGTGGTTCATATGCGAAGTGCTCTCCAGCCACATAGGAATTCCGGGCTCCTTGCTAGTGAACTCATAATCCGCCTAGTTTACTAGCCTGTAGTAAGTCCGAAAGAGAAGGAAGGTTAGGTGTGGGACCAGCAACCCATCTCTGCGTCGGTGGTACAGTGGTTAGGACTCGCGCCGACCATGCACATGGCCCGGGGTTCGAGCCCACGCCGACGCACACCTGATATCTATGGTCTGCCTGCGAATTTTTGGGCTACCGATATCCACGCTGAAAATTCCATACTTGTACCAGAAATACAGTTTGGAATCAAGCTGTAATCAAAAAATAAATAAATAAATAATACTGGCGCTACCAAAACTTCAAAAGAAGTTTGGACATATGTTTTCCACTCGGAAGGTGAAGAATAAGAACTTATTTTCCAATGACAATGTGATAACACTCCGATCTTTTCCTTAGTTTGCATATAAGATTTAAATGTTGGTTTGAAAGTTTCATTTTCCCTGGCCAGTCTAAACTAATAACATCATGAGATGTCTGATTTAAAAGTCAGCCTTGCTAATCATATGTAGTCAATCACAGGACGCATTCAGAGAGGTTTGGGAAACTTCGCGACTTTTTGATCTACTGAAATATAGTGATACTTAAATTGTCGTGTCAAATTTTCGCCAAACTCTTTGTCTATGTACAGCAATTATGATTCATTTCTGTTTGATTCTACTGTCACCTTTGTAGTTGAATATCCAGGTTTCAAGTGTTTATACTACTGATCGACATGAGTAGTTGAAATCCACCCATATCTAATAAGAGACCTTGGTAACGACATTTTCAGAGCGCATCAGTGTTGTATGCACTTAGACTGAGGTCAAATAACTGATTCAGTCCAGAGCATCCAAATTCTGGAAAGCTACTTAGTTATCAGTAACGTGGTGTCGTGAGTTGTTCATAACTACTTACATCAATTAGTAGTAAGTGCCATATGATACAGTCTGTGGCCTCAAGGGAGTCACCTGTTGTGCTCTGAATATTCTGCATTTTGTAAGGAAAATGTACTGAAGTTTCAAGTCCATCTGTGTTATTCGCAAATAATGAATTTTCTTATTTTATGTGTGAACTGTTTATGATTCCTGACATCTCTATTTAACTTTGCCGATCAGTGAATGATACCTATCTTCGACCCAGTCATACACTTGATAAGTCACTATCTAAATATTATTTATTCAGGCTTATGTTTTCTTGTTGATTGACCAGTCTCTATTTGGATATACTGGTCCTTTGAACGGATGCCTTTATATTTACGTGACTAATGCCCTGAAGTTACTTGTCACTAAACAAGTCACTGTCTAAATACTTTAACGGTAATATCATTGAGGGTAGGACAGAGTTAGATGAGTTCAAATCACTGTGACAAAACATTAACCCATTCGATGATGCATTAACGTCATGTTGACAGTTGCCGCACAGCAAAATCATGAGTTCATAGCTTATTTTAGGTTTTCCAAACAACCTTATCTCAGCTAGTTTTCAGCTATTTCAATACGTGTAATACTTAATACACTTTTGATAAAGTGATTCTTTTATCTGCTTTATAGAGGTCTTGAAACTACGTATCAATCAGAATATGCAAAACCGAACAGTATATTAAGAAAAGCTGATTTAGTCTGCCCTGTGGAGACACCATACACTCTACCAGGTACTGTTTTATCTTTGATAGTTGATTATAAGTAGTGAAGTGTTTATATCATCCGAAAACTTCATGTTATTCTTTAGAATATCTTCAACTGTCTACAAGTTAAAAGCTTAACAGTAAACTTCGGCACACGGAGGTATGTACTCCTAATCGATATGAGCAGTTGAATAATGGTCATTAGTAACCCAAATAGCTAGCCAGCATTTATATCATTTGAATTGATTCGACTGAGTACATCGCTGATGAGTTCGGCTGAAAACGACAGAAATGGTAGCCCAGTGAACTGATCATTTCGGTTTAGTTGGCAAGTGCAACAGGATCATATGAGTGATTTCCAACCACTTGTATTACAATACATGATTTCAGTAATTTCAGTTTACAATGGTAACTACGGTAGAATTCCACCTCTGGTTTCACTGTGAACCTTCAATTATTCAGGTAATGGAAGTAAACTCTGAAGCACTCTGAAAACTAGTCTCTAACTTATAAATTACAGGGTTTCTTCACTTGTCAGTCAACTTGATTAGTATAATATCTAAAATCCTATGTTCTGCAGTATTATGTGGATAAAGTGGGGCTCAAGCAAAACAAACCCAAGAAGATCAGTCAGGTTGCAGGCTCGGGCAAGGGTGCATTGATCAAATGCTCACTCTAAGAGATTTCGAACAAAGACAATGTTAAGTGTCTAAAATTTGCCGAATTTTTATACTCAAGGGCGGTTTACAACTTCAGTGAATAAGAGATGCTGTGAAAGGGTGTGACTGTGTGAGGAACGAATCAAAATATGTTATGCTAATGAAGGCATTCTGCTAGAACTTATCCAGCCGCGCAAGAACTTATTGGGACTTTACATCCAAAGTGATAATAATCACTGATATCTACCGTTCTAATTTAATTTTTCACAAATTTACTGATGGACTTAATTGTGCATAGTTTACATCCATTATGAATCGGTGTAGCTCAAGGGAAAAGAGTTATATCCGCACCGCTAATTGTTATAAGAGTAATGAACACGACTGCCACACCAATACGCCTATTCATTTGTTTTACCCTCCGCTTCACTGAGCCACGCAAATATCAAAAGACAAAGGCTGGCCTATGAGTGTAAGCTACTGTACGTTTATTAAGAAACGACACACATTTATAAATTTTCTTTACCATAATAAAGTCGGCTCACAGCCGTAGGAATGGATTGTTCTAATTGGCTGTTCTGATCGGATGGCAATCCGGCAAAGACTGAGGTGAGACAAAGGATGATGAATTGATCACATAATAAGTCACAATATACATAAGAAATGATGGAGTGATAATAGTAACTCCATCACAAGATGAATCACAAGATTAGTGGGAAAGAATGATATACTATTTTATGCTGGTTCCTATCACTGGACCCTAGTAGATAGATAATATTGTAACAACAGAAGGCAAGACACGAAAGCCAATGTATACTTTCCATTGATCAAACCGCTGTTTATATACATACTATTATTTTCTGTTTGCTGTCTTTTCTTCTCCTTTTAAAGATCCTGGGACAGCTTTAGTTCATGCAGCGCCAGATATGTATAAAACGGAGTATTCACTCATAGGTGAATGTCAGAGAACATTATTATGAAAAGTGGGTTGCAGTGAAACGGAGAGAAAGAAAAAGATTTATGAAGAAAATCATACAAAAATAAGCAAAGACAGCATGAATTCCAGTAATATACTTCTGTCTATATGAACAAGTGTATTGTCTAAATATTTACAAGTTCATGTTCTCGAACCACGAAATTTTCGCCCCTTTTTTAATCCTACTTTTCAGTGCTTGATTGTGAAAGCAATGCACTTTATTGTTATTTTCTTTGTCTGTGTGTTTATGTCTCTTTATGTTAATCGTTGTTCTATCAGCTTGTTTCTTCGTTTACATGTATCTGTCAATCCACTTATCTTAGTATGCACTATTATAGTGTAATTGCCTGCATACACCTCAATACAAAGTAGTAGTATCCATAAATTTACTTAAAAACGAACAAATAAATTTATTTAACATTGGAATTCCAATTTGTTTTCATCGAATTACTGAATTCGACTGAATTACATTCTAGGTCACATTAATTCTCTGCAGAATACTCCATAGTAGTGGAGAAGATTTATAACTCAGCTGCAATTTTTGTTGTGCCCGTGTGCTCTGTGAAGCAAACACTGAAGGTGTCTAGATGAAGAATAAAAGCTTCTCAGTTGAACCATCTAGCTGTGGAAAAACCCAACCAGATCAAAAAAACTTCACGATATACTTATTTAGATGAACTAGGTTCATAAGAATTTGGTAGATTTCAAAGCAGATTTGATCATAAATAGACTATGGTTGACTGGCGAAACATTGAAATGATAACTGGAGTGAACAAACTTTTGTTTCTAATAATCTGAAACACTACTGCTAGCAGTTAAACTTAGGGACAATCAGCTTGCAAAGTTAGCACACTGTTCTTCGACTGCTGGATCACGATCCTATGACGTGCGACTTCCGAATGCCTGACGATTCTTTTAACATCTCTCTACTCAATCAAGTGTCATCGATGCATTTACATTCCCGAACCTGATTTGATGAATTCCATCCATTACAGCTGTAAGCGCAACATCGCTTGAAATTAAGTCACGCGTGGATAAAGGCTATCCCGGTCCAGAACAAACAAGAAGCCGGTCACTGTTTCTACGGTACTATTAATAAACAAATCAATAATTATATATACAACAAACCTTAACGGTTTCAAGAGTACAAAGCACAACGCTTAACAGGAAACAAGGTACCGCTATCAGAGTGGAATAACGTTAAAACCAAAATTGCGAACTAGCCGAAACCGGACACGACCGTTCAGGTAAGCAGTCAGTAGAAGAATGAACCCAAGTAAGGCATGGCATAAAAAACAGAAAGCGGTTAAGAGATAGACCGAGCATGGGCACAAAGATAGAATTTAATTGGCTACCTAACCAGGTAGGAAAATACAAATGCAAATCAATAAATAAGATAAACTCGACAGAATAGTACAAAGTAAGACATGGGTCAGCAAAAATAACAGTTCACAAAATACTCTGATTGGGTCATGAGTTCAACTGTCTGACTAAACGGATCGAGGTAAAAACACATACACTCAGTTCATTAATCAAGCAGGGATAGACACGTTATGCATGGATAATTGGGTTACAACAACGCTAGGCTGATCCGGGACAGGTTGACTTGATTCAAGGATGGGAATTGAATTGATCTTACAACAGCTTTTCCTCAGAGCTTCAGAGAATTCATCTCTAAGTTATCTATTAATGAAGAGCGAAGTGTTATTCAGATAGATGTTGGCAGGAGTTACAATTCATGATCACGGTGGTGTCATTGTAACGTAGCGGGATTGCTTTGAATTCATCATTGGCTGATTTTTTAGTGTATTCTTTTGAAAACTGAATAAAGAACCTACTTTAACTTAAGTTTTAGTTTTGTTTACATTTTCACAATACCTGTTGATGATTAGTAAAAACGGTGACTGCCGACCATTTTTTTTACCCTCGATAAACAACTGTGTCTATCTCTCACACAAATAAAATATATTTCAGAAACTTCATAACGCGTAAAGTATGTTCTCACTAACACAAATGATGTTCAAAAGTGCCTCAAGTCTCTAAACCCTTCCCAGAGCTTAGGTCCCGATTATGTACCTAGTATTATTTTTAAAAAATGTTCTGATATTCTGTGTCACCCTCTTACTGATCTATTTAACAAATCTTTTTCCGATAATATTGTGCCTGCCGTTTGGAAGGACATTAAAGTTGTACCCATACCTAAATCTTCTACTGGAGCATGTGTCAAATTTAGACCCATTGCTATTACGTCTCCGTTTTTGAAAACTATGGAGAAATTACTTTTACTTAGTCTTGAACCTTCGCTTAAATCCTTTAATGACCCTAAACAATTTGCCTATAAGCACAGTAGAAGCACTTTAGATGCAGCTGCCGTCTTATATCATAACATTGCTTCCAGTCTAGACAAGGGGGCTAAATTTGTTCGTGTTGCCTTCCTAGACTATACATCTGCTTTCGACTCGGTCCCTAGGGACATCTTATTAAATAAACTTGCTGCTAGTCAAACAGAATGTTGGGCTGTTAACTGGTTGCATTCCTATTTCTCAGATAGAAAGCAGTACACCGTATATAAAGGGAAGTCTTCCACTTCATTGCCTACTGAAGCTGGTGTCCCTCAAGGTGCTGTTCTTTCTCCTTTTCTTTTTTCTTTCTTCTTGCACGACTTGCCTCACTCTGATGAAATAAACTTTGTGAAGTATGCTGATGATTTAACGGTTTCAATGGCTGTTAACTCCCAGCTAGATTGTACTAAAATAAATAGCTTTCTATCGGAAGTCAGCAAATGGTCTGAGTCTAACGGTCTTAAACTGAATCCTTCTAAGTGTCAAACTGTTGATTTCAGCTTAAGATGTAAACGACAGTTAAAAGAAGTCATCGATTCTCATGGCACTTGTAAAATTGACGACAATGATATAGGAATCAAATCAGAAATTAAGTATCTTGGACTCATTCTCTCTTCTGATCTCTCCTGGTCTTCCCATGTCTTAGCAATCTCCAGTAAAATATTCCGCTTGACATTTTACATTAAGAAGTTAAGACACTCGGGTATAACTCAACCCCTCATCCTACAGTTCGTAAACTCTTGCATCCTACCTATTCTTCTTTATTGTTCACCCTTATTCTTTCCTGGTTTGCTTAAAAAGGACTATGTCACAATTCGTAGAATACTGAAGACTGTCAGTAGAGTGAGTGGTGTCCCAGTGGACCACATAGTTAACGTCGTTGTCGATAGGCATTTGACTTCGTGCAATAAATTTGCTAAAGGGATTTTGTCTGACTTGGAGCATCCGCTTTACCCTCAGCTTTCACCTTGCATCTCCTCAGGTAGAACAAGGAGTAACTTCAGAAAACTGTATGCTCGCACGTCTAAGTATAAGAAGTCTATGATACCATACTTGGCATGTATTTTATGTGATGAAAATAGTGTCAGGCAAGAATTAACTAACCTTCTTTCATCTAGTAAATAAACAATTTCCTCCATCCATCCTTACATACCTTCAAGTTTTACTTTTATTACTTCTATTATATTTATGGTCCTGTTAATTCTCTGTTTTACTCTCATAATTGCAAACACCAACTTATCTCCATGACGGCTGTAATCTATGTTTTTTCCTTCACCATATCATGTAGAAAGAACATTATATTCAATATTTTTAAACATGTTAGGATTTCTATACCACATTGACAATACTGTGTGGCACAAGCCAACGGCAATTTTCACTTGTATTCTTATTATTATTACCCTAGCTGTTATCATTATTATTGCTATTTCCATTTTATATGCTGCATGTTTTTGACACTACCTCTATTGTAAATGTGGAAAATTTTCTGTGTGATTAATTTTATTTATAATTTGAGGAAATTAGATGCAATATTGTGATTAATGCTGAAAATTCCATTCTGTATCACAAGTACTGTTTTTGGAATAAAGTAAATTATTATTATTATTATTATTATTAAGTGTTATGCTTTACAAAGCTTGTGTGTTGGAAGTGATGAGAATCGAATTTCGATCTGAAGAAAAAATATATTACATGACGAAAAGTGAGTTTGAATCAAACAGAAAGGAACAAAGGCTATCAGTTACTGCACCTCGTGACGACTAGATTATAAAAATCTTATTTTGTACATTTATTCCCTCTTATTAATTAGAATAAAATAGAAAAACAACAGTCTGTGGTGAGTAAGAGGTGACGTCGTTTGTTTCGTGAGTTTCTCATCGGTTGCTAACAGCCCAAAACAACACCAATTAAGTTTATGTACAGAGCAATTTTGACGTGCCTGTGAAGGTGACATGATGTCAGTTAGCAGGCGACTCCAACAGTGCTCAGTAATTCTACTCATACACAGATGGTTAAAGTGTAAAGAAAACAAAATCAAAGGACAATAGTAAATGTTTGGATATAATGGAATAAGAGTTGCGTAATTAAGACAGGATGTGGATTGGATGACGCGTAACTAACACGTTGAGTACTAATATGACGAGTCTAACTGAATCCACGGAAAAAAAGACAGGAAAAATTGCATCATAATGAAAGGAGAAGAGGTTGAAGATAAAGACTGCGTAATGAAACCAAATGAAGAGTGAAGACATTGAGTTACCAGGACAAGGAAAGACTGATAACTCTTTCTTTCTGAACATATAAATCAGGTTTTAGATATTTGATAGCAGTCGCTGAGAAGCAATGAACTGAATAACCTATTGATGATTTTAATATGCAGATGACCTGACTGTTTCGCTTTCCGTTAAGTCTCAGTCAGACTGCTTCAAATTAAATAGCTTCCTGTCTGACATCAGTCAGTGGTCTCAACTAAATGGCCTAACGCTGAATCCCTCAAAATGCCAGACTGTCGACTTCTCCTTTAGGCATAAACGAGATCTACAAACACTAGTAAGCACTCATGATGTCTGTAGAATTGAGGGGACTATAATTGAAACAAAGTCTAATGCAAAATACCTCGGATTAGTTCTATCTTCCGACCTAACTTGGTCATCTCATATCCAAATGATTTCCAAGAAAGTGTTTCGTCTAACCTACTACATTAAGAAACTCAGACTAACTGGAGTCCCTCAACTTCTGCTTTCACAATTTGTCAACTCTCGTATCCTACCTATTCTACTTTACTGCTCCCCATTAGTCTTTCCTGGGTTACTGAAAAAGGACTATACCATCCTGAGAAGGATGTTGAAAGTAGTTAGTAGGACTAGTGGTGTAAAACTCAGTCAGCTCGTCACTACATTAGTGGATAAGCATCTGAATACATGTGAGAAATGGACTAAAACCATACTCTCTGACCCCCAACACCCCCTCTATTCCCAACTCTCTCCTTGCATCCCATCAGGTAGAACCAGAAATCAGTACAAAATAATATATGCTCGTACAACCAAGTATAGAAACTCAATGATACCAAATTTGGTCCGTATTCTAAGTGACAGAGACAATGCTAAACGCGAAACCTATGACTTGCTTTGTTGTTAATAACATAATTTTAGCCCTTGTTATTTCCCCCTTATACTCTCTTATTTGTACTCTGAACAACCTTCTTAAACATACTTAGCTACCTAAAATTATTATCACTGGCTTACTTTTTTATCCTTTACTCTATTCCTTCTTCTGTATATCTACTGGGTCCGACTATATTATCACAATGAGTATTACAAAATTGTCCTGTCCATCATGTAATATTAGTTTTGTGGTTGTTCTTTGTTCGGCACTATCTAACTGACAATCTTGTTTGTGAACGCCACTATCACCATCTTAAAAATTTTATATTACTCACACTACCACAATAAACACTGCATTAGTGCTGACAATAAAAATAAAAAACTCTGAAATGTTTATTTTATGATTGTTTAGTGTAGTTCAATCAAATTAACTGATCATCTTGGCTATAAACGTTCTTAAGAACATCTCATAACTTCTTGTATGATTATAACTGTTACTGTTCACCACGCATACACATAGCTTCATAGCTTCCACTACCCAATACTGAAATATTTTTCATTATTGGTGTTTATCTTCCTTTCTACTTGGTATTTCTATTTGCTTTTTTTTGTTATTTCTGTATTTCTTTTTTGGTTTTTTGTTGTGTTTTTTATATTTATTTTTTTTTGTAATACTCCTTTTAAATGTACGATGAAATTAGATGCAATATTGTAGATATGTGCTAAAAATCTCACACTGTACCACAAGTACTTTTTCTGGAATAAAAGCGAAATTGTTATGTTATGTTAAAGGATTTCAGGGTGTTCACTTTATGACTCATATCAAAGAAGTGCCTATTAGTAGCACTGTTGAAAGCGAAGGCTTTTTGGTATATTCCCAGGTAATCAAAGCTATGTCATTCTCTCTTTTTTCCCTATGTAAGTGCAACTGCAAATACATGTAAATTTGGACGCGCAATTACAGCTAAAGTAAGAAGGGCATCTGTTGGCCTGTGATTACACCAAAGAGCTTTTTGTTCAATAAACGGGAACCAATCCGGCTATAGCACAGGTTCTGGCTAGTGAAGTATTCAATCTTCTGTTGACTAATCCTGCAATACTATCACCTTTAAGATCGAACTATGAGAATAGGCTTCTTTTTCACTGCGATCTGTTTTGCATTCAAATCACATCTTCCATGTTTGTTAATAAATCTCGGAAGGTAACCGTTATTTTTTAACACCTCAGAAACCAGGAATTATTTCTCCAATTTCTTAGTAAAGCACTATGCTTTGGCTCTGTAAAACAGAGTCAGGACCAAGGCTGGTTTATTGTAAATTGGACAAAAACTATTGAATTTCAGGTATTGTCCACTCCAATGTGACATTCACTGAATAGATTTCCGAACACCACCATCTCTCAAGCGTTGCATGACGACGTCAAGAAAATGAAACCTCCCGTTACTTTCATTTGCCATTGTGAAGCCAGTGTCTTCATGTGCGTCAAATAATAGTTCCGGTGGTTAGGATGCACGACTTTCACTGTCACATACTGTATAATGGTCTCATCAACATATTGACAGTAAGAAGTTGTCTCATTGATAGTGCGATACATCTTTGTTCTCTTTCTACATGAACTTTAAGCAGTAACTAGCTGACGAGAAGGCAATGAAGTAAAGGATGAGGCCGTCTTACTCGGCAAAAAGCGTTATTTATGTTTCATTCAAAAATCCCATTGTCATAAGGTTATGCGCCGCATTTCAGTTTAGACAGTATACTGCTGAAACAATTTAAGTAGCTTATATACACAAATTATTTCTAAATGAGTTAAATAGGATGTTGACGTCAAGAACTAAGTAAAAACATTTACACCATCATAAAAAACATCTTTAATTATACATTATCTATATTATGTACATACACACCATAAATTGTACATAAACACAGATACGTCTGTTTTATTTTGTACAACAGATAGGAAAGGGCATTGAATTTATTCAGTGTGTACAAATACAATTACTATTAAAACACGTAGAAACAAGTCAGATTGGCCAATATACATTACTGAGACATTACATTAATGCCTTATAGAAATTGGGCCCTAATCACCTCACATAAAACACACACGTACACAGGGACAGTGTAGTCTGTACACAATATTTCTCAATATCATAAAATGAACCAATAAGAAAAAAATAGGTAAAAAAAATAGAAGGTAGTACATACACAGTTTGTTACAATTTGAAAAATAAAACAAATAAATATTAGGCCGAAATCTACTTAACATGCCCTGTCATGGCCTTGATCAGCTTAGAAATTCCCTGATCATGAACGTGATTTAAATTCATTTGATGATATGTACTGTGATAAAATTGAAATATATTAAACAGTAAAGTAACACAAATGTAGCTCAGGTAAAGAAGAAGGCTAGTTGTCTATTTATACATATTGTATACGCTAAGAAATACTTTTCTTCTGTAAGTAGTTCATTAAATCCATAAAATCTCGATGTATACCATATGGATGTAGATGGTAGAGCATATATTCAAAGAGATACATTTCTCCTGGTGTTATATAATGAAAAGACACCGCATAATCACTGCAGCAGTCGAAACCCTGGAAACAATAGTGACAGAAAAAACACACATGGGATTACTTAACACAATCCATATTTCAATATGGATTTATTTCTTTATAAAACTGACATCGGATAGTGAGATACTGGAATTTATGCAGTGCTCAAGGCTTATTATACTGACACAATCTTCTTACAGTTATAGCAGAATATTGATTGAAATTGTGACGGAAGTCAGTGTCACAACCGGATTCGAACTGAAACTCTATCGATATTCAATCACCCTGTGACTTGCATCTTCGTTAATATTTCACTGTCCTAAAGCTACCTCATGCAATGCATTATAGACCTTGGTTTACTTAAGATGACCAACGTATGGTTTCTCTTATCGATACAACTAGTGTTAACCACACAAAGTGTGAGTTAATTTATTAAAATTAAAGCACGGGAGACTTGTTACTGAACTTTTTCCGTTTCTGAAATATAAAAGCATCAAACAAGTACAACACCCAGTAGCACGAGATAATTGTTCTTCAAACAAAGATGTAAGCGCATACTGAACACTAGTAACGTGTCAAATAAAATATTTTTAATTTAACTCATGTTTACACGAAGAAAATGGAGAACAGAATAACAAACATATGCAGTTAGATCTAAGTGATGAGTGTACACAAGAGAATATTTGGCGAGTCACAGTTAACAGGATGGAGATGACAATCAATTTGTAGACTTCGATGCTAGTTGTGTGTCATAGTTAAGAGTGCTTCCTCCATCGAGGCGATCTTAACATCCGACAGTCGTTTTGCTTGTTTGGAGCCGAGGCCAATAACCAGATTGGTTCTAAGCACTTAAACTACTCTGCCTTTTCCATTTCCCTCGATTAACTAGTCCGACAAATTACATCATTAGTAGTTTGCCAACCCAAATCTACTCCAGATATAGTCTCACTGTAAACTGTATAATAATAGTTTGTTCACTGAAAACATCTCACTCGATAAAAGGTCGACAACTACTACTGTCAAGCAGTAGTGACTTGGAAGAAGTCGTGTTGTCCAAGTTTACCACCCATCGGCGGTGCACAACACTACAGTTGTCTATCACTCATTTGGCTTTGATTGGTATTCCATCTAATTTAGTTTTGTGAAAAAATTAACTCCGAAGTAACCTAAAAATCATACAAATCCGATTTCTTAAGTAACACTTATGGTTTTTTATCGATTTACTCTTATGAACAAGTGAGTTACCATAACGTGTCTATCTTTTCAGTGTGACATTAACAATTACAGTAACTTCAAATGATGCACTGATAAGTAAACTTCTTTTCGGTAGTTTGCGTTTTTAAGCATTCCTTTGCATCCTGATTGAAGAACAGGGCTTCAAACTTGAGCATGGAAGTTTTAGTAGTGGCAGTGTTTTTTTAATAGTGTAGAGTCGTTAGCCTCGCGAACAACCTTCCCTCTTAACTGGCCTTACTGCTTCCTAGGCGAGTTTTGGGACTGTGTCAATCAGGAACCGAACTTGGAGCACATACATGGCTGGTGAGCATTCTACCACTGAACTGCCTATACACAATATCTGTATACTGTATAGAAAGGCAAGTCTACTGACCATAATAGTCAGTGACAGATATGTGTAGTGAATTGGATTTCATAAAAGCCAAGTCAGATGGAACGCGAACCAGATACAATGATGCAATACACTGCATTCTGATTTACCGCATCACGTTTCAATGTCGGCCGTTAAATATGATGTGGCGAATAATATCTGTATTGTAAAGGTGGAGGCAGAAATACATGTAAAAAGGTCGTTAATATTAGTAAAGATTAATGAAACATGAAATACTCAAGCCAATCAACACCAACTTATCAAAAAGAGAAAGCTTCAGATTGAAGTATGCCATAAATCTATCCACTTCCCGTTTGTTGGTAAGTGCTACTTGGGTAAGTGCAGTTACCTTAACTGAAGTCTGTGACTTGTTAATAGTTAGTCAAGTCTAAAATCTATCACACTGTCTCGGATTTGTTAACTTACCCTTTAGGATTTTTGCTGAATTAAGTATTCCCATAAATCTTAGTTGTAATATTTTCGCCTCTCTCACACCTTTTATTTATTCGTTATAACATTAGTCTGTTCCAATCGCCTTATACTTTTAGGAGTTGAGAAGAGATAGAAACTTAAAGTAGTACGCTCATGCTCGACATTGTAAATTAGTCTATCTAAGCCGTAAAAAACAAAATTCTATTCAAGGGCGCTGGGCAAATGTTTCATCATAGTTTGAAATCTTCCTCAGGAATAGTACCCAAGGTCTTCGGATCATGAGGGAAATCCAATAACAGGCCAGCCACTGTGATGGAATCCTATGACCCCTGAACTTCAACCTCTGTCAATTCGCAACACAGAGTCATCTCAAACCAATGCAATCACTGAGTTTATCCAGTGAGGTTTTTGGAGTTCCAAACTAGAGAAAACCCTAACAATCCCAAAATCTAAATGCACATTTACTTAAACAACCTAACATTGACTCATTACTTTCTTACTGCATTTTCGGTGCAATCGGGTGGTTGAGATATTTTAATTTAACTTCGTATATTTTGCTTTATGGTTTATGTTTCAAATAATACAGATAATTTGATTAAAGCACATACCTTTCTGATTGCTAAGGTTAATGTAACATATATGATTTTTGTAAAGTGTTGTACACTGTGAGGCGATGAATCATGAAGACGAGCTAGAATATCTCCACTTTTATTGCACAAATAATAGGCTCGTGAAACGACTCGGTACAAAAGTATTTTTGTTTCCTTCACGTTCCCAGTAGAACATAGGGCCTCAAGCTAGTGGCTTGAAGTTTTTGTGGCAGTGTTTGATTTTACAGGATGGGATTGCTAGTCTCATGCCCAACCTTTCCTCTTTACCAGCATTATTTCTGGCTTAGCAAGGTGAAGGAGTGCGTCTGCCGGGGATCGAACCCTGGACCATATGCATGGTCGGCGAGCGTCCTAATCGCTGTGCCACCGACGCACACAAAAGTATTCAGGGATAACGATAAATTACAGTAATTTACATCAAATAAATCATAGCCACATGAAGGCTTGAGAATATGGCTACTTTAGTCAATAACGTTGTTAATATTCAACGTAATAGCAAATAACCTTGTCGCTACCTATGTTTTTCAAACCGTGCCATCATGCAACGCTTTTATATCTTTGATTAGCTTATAGTAAAAACAGTCTTGTCGCTGCTAATGACGTTGAAACTATGCCTGGTTGTCGTCAAGTCACGTGACAGTAAACGAAGCTACAACACATCTGTAGTCATTCTAACATATACTGAAAATAATTTACACATACCAGAGAGACAACTTACTGTATCTATTCTGTGGTAATTATACTTCAAAAACCAGTCAGGATAACCTTTGGGATCTTTTGTAAGCATACTGGATGGAGAGAAAGGATGGAAGCATTCACGGCCTTCTGCATCTAAACTGTCGACTACGCTGACGTGTGTAGCTTCAGCGCAAAGACCTTAAGTTCAAATTTAAAAAGAATACATGTAGACTAGATTATCACGCTGTAATATTCATAATATGATAGTGACGAATAAAAATTGTAATGTGTTTTATAATTTGACGGAATATAAATTGATGATTAGGTAGACAAAATGTCAATGGATAAGCAATATATTCTCCATTATGGATAAGTTTTTATTTTGATAAATCACACAGCGTTTTTTGTACAGTAATAATAACTGATGGCGTTTCAAGCACAAACTGTTGCTGATAGTCATATCAAGTTAGTCACACAACTTTTTTGCTTCATTTATATATATGAGTAAAACGGATTAGACATTTCAATAAAATCAATACACGATAATGTACATTCGGAAATAATATTAGTGTTATCAATCAAATACAATCAGAGGGGAAATAAGACGATTTTTACAGTAAAAATAAATAACCTGTTAGAATGTTAGAATGTGAATCAAAATAGAATTTCAACATTATTCATTTTTCTCCGATTTGACTGGTGATAATATCTTCCATATCTCTGGTGTTTGCGTTGATCACTTCGATTGAATGTGTTGCATGTAGACTCAATGAACTAGAATTCAGAAATCAATCTCTCTCTCTCCACCTACCTACCTACTTTTAAGAATTTTAACTCTCACCCACCCTATTGTGTGGTTGTGTGTTAATGCATGCACTGTGATCGCTGCTGAGTTTTTTTCTCAATTACTTATCTTCGTGGGATAAATCATTCTTACATTAGCTAAATTCCTATGCTCTGATAATCTCACTGCTCCTGATCTACTAGTTCGACCCATGTAGTTGACTTCACTCACAGTCATTGCAAGGTATTTTGTAAATTGTATTAATTTGTTTAACTGGATCCACCGGGTCCTTTAAACTACAGAGCTTGTCCCTGAGCGAGTTTGTAGGTTTAAATGCCACTGTAATTGCTGCTTTATTGAGAATCCTATGTAGGGGTTGGTTTCAGATGTCCCCTCCTTATACGGTAAAACTGTAGATGCATTATATTCTTTCTTATTTATGTTATTATTAATAGTTTTACCGTTATTTCTACTTTGCTTTTGACCATTTTGATGTTCTTAGTGAATTTTATGGGATAGTTATTTGACACCAACACCTTCTTTTATCTGTTTTGTTTCACTATTTAGTTCTTTTTTTGTACTACTTAGTGCTACTGCTGGGTTTGTTAGACACTTAACTTAGCCAGTTTTTACAGATAACGGATCAGATGAATCAATGTCTAAATATCTGTTAGAATGCGTTGGTTTTAATAAACGCTAACGTGTAGTTTACCTTCTTCTATTCGTTTCATTTTACAATCTAACATTGCTAATTCTCCTTGTTCATTTTCCGACTCAAATGTGAATTTGATTCCCTTCACTAGTGAGTTCATATGTGTCAAGTAGCTAGAGATATGTTCTGTTTTTAATACTGTGAAAGTGTCATCCACATATCTCCACCATATTTTTGGAGTAGGATTAAGTGTATTTAGAGCAATATTTTCCCAACTGTCCATAAATAATACAAAATACTGATTAAAGTGCATTATGTCTAGTGGTTTAAAAAGAGGTTGATGAAAGCCGACATGTTGTAAGGCTACTTCAAATGTTCCGAGATAATTATGTTCAAATGCAGTGTAAAACATGATGTTGATCCATGAATCTTTGCATGTTGGTTTGATTTTCGACTTCAGTCTTCTAACAGGAGGAATCTTCCCTGTTCCTTCCATTTAATGATATTCTCCCTGTTTAACTAGGTAGGAAGATTTAGACTACCTGAGTTCTTAGGAGGCAAAGAGTCGAAGGTTGGTAACGTGGCTCAAAATCGTTTTTAAAAGCGCAGATGTATTTTCTCCTTGTGTTCTTCCAGATTTCACTAATCGTCACTAGTCTTCACCCAATTAACCTTTCTTCTGTACAGTTTTAACTAATTTGTCCCCATTATATTTCATTCCTCAACAGCTGCCTTCACCTGATATTGAAGATTGAAAGGCCAGAGTGAATAAGCAACAGAGAATTTTTGTAGAGAACCATTTTACCCGAAAAATATGCAGAAGAAAATGGAGATGAATAGGACATACATACGCTGAGGAGATAGACCACCAACGAAGTCACACACTTTTATTACACTCAAATGAAATCCGAATGTGAAGTGACCAGTTGAGTGACTGAAGATGACATGGAGATGATCGAATGGGGATGAATTGTGGGTGGTCGTCGAGCCAGCTGAAAGTGATAGCGTGGAACCAAGAGGGATGAATATATTTGTGCTACAGAAACCTTATACTTCACTCAGGGCACAAAGAGTGAATAGTAATAATTTAATGAAAGCAATCTAAACATTTGTGTTATTTCAATTCGAACCTGAAGTCAGCGGATAATATCGGGGTTTTTATAGCCAAACTATTTATTTATTTTTCGATTACAGCTTGATTTCTGCAGGGGATTGAACCTCGGACCATGAACATGGTCGGCAAGAGTCCTAACCACTATGCCACCGACGCACAACCCAACCCTCGATTGAGCTTGCTTCTTCAAACCTGAGAAATAAAGTTAGGTAGATATTTAGACTTGTATGCTGTTCAGCACTGTCTTGGCTATTAGCAGATGAAGGATGACAAGGAGGTTCACGGATTACAATTACACGTGCCTCAGTGGCACCGCATGCAAGTAGTAGGTTGGATGATATTGACATTCAAGAGAGATGACAAGTAAGGAAGAAAAGTTAGTGATTGAAATCATGAAATTTCTCCAAGTGAGTTGGCTGGGATACATACGCACGTACATGTCCATTGACTGATAACTACATTAGCCGAAGTAAGATGAGGTTGGTAAAGGGGTGAACGTTACCGCACTAGTATATGCGAATGATTCACAGAGTCATGGAATGTTGGCTTCAGCTCAGTTAAGCAATAAGGCAACGTTTTCACAAAATCATTAAAATTTCAGCATTTCAAGTATTCCAACAATCTTATTTTTTCACGTTAACTGGGAGTTAAAATTTGTTCTACATGCTACTTGCCTTTCAAATATGCTTGCAACACACACATAGTAGAGTTCTTATCTGACACTGAATTTAAATCAGTTAGGTAAAAAGTGAAAAGTTTTTGGACTGTGGCATAGATTAACTAACCATACAATTGCATTTCACCCGTTGTTTACAAACAATGATAATTTTTTGATTATAATAAAGGCTTTTTGTATTTCCCAATGAATGAAAAACAAAACGATATTGTTTTTACTGACGTTTCGCTATTTAATGTTAATAGCTTTCTCAAAGTACTATTAAACCGGAATTTACAAAATCTCAGCATATTAGCATTAAATAGCGAAACGTCAGTAAAAACAATATCGTTTTGTTTTCATTCATTGGTAAATACAAAAAAACCTTTATTATAATGAATATCATTTACCCAATGACCAAATTTTTTCAAACTGTTAAAAGTGAACTTCGTTTGGATATACGTAATAATTTTTTGATTTTGATAATATTCCAAATAGAATTACTTCTCGTGATTACGCTTTCTGTTTTTTTAAATTCACACACAAGTTTGTAATCATCCATAATCCATTTGTGTCTATTCACTTTTTGTGCATCCAGAAGTTGTTGAGAGTTGTGTTTAGTCACTTAGGTATCTGATAAGTTAGATAGTCAGAAACGCGAGTTTGATGGGTTCCGACTGGGCACGTGTATCAACGAAACATTAATCACTACTGCAATGCAGCCAGCCAGGCCATAATTTCATCCTAACCAATTTCGTAAAAACCTCCACCGATTCCACTGGAATCAATTCAGTCAGAAAAGTCTTGTGTAGATAAAAATGATCACTTACCAAGTTTGACATCTTCAGCAAATGAATATTTACCATTTATACAATCTGTGGTATTCTGTAAACCATTAGCTATATTGATAATACCAGCACGTGACAGGACATAACCCCCGCCACCAGACATATAACCTTGTTTAACATATGGCTAGTGAAAATATACATGAAAAATAACTGTAAGTACAATATGGGTATACAGTTTAAATAGAATTGACTAGAAAACTGATATAATCACAATGTGGTTAATGGAAAATCTATATGTATGTAAAAGAATCCATAATAAACAGATTCCAGAGTAGTAGTCAGACAGTCTATCAAATGACATGTGAAACGCCTAGGGTCGACTATAAGGTGACGAGGTTTTTTTACCTTTAACGGCTTATAAAAAAGACTTTTTAGAAGTACTACTGTTCAGCAATGCAGTCAGAGATATCGCCTTTGAATAAACCAAGCTGAATTCACTCCCCTCCTGTTGTAGGGTTGATTTAGGTTTCATTCACCAGATTATAACTCATGTGGCTTTGACCTTATCCTATTTGTGTCAGGCAAAATCTAACAATAACTCAACCGAAAAACCTTCAAAATAACCCAGAAGTGACTAATCACATCATTCATCATGAATACCAATCATTTATTACTTTTTTAGTTTGCTGTTCATCTTGTTTCCTAGTTCTGTGTAGCTGCTGAACTCTGTGTTATGATCAGCTGAGTTCCTTACAATACTTAATGGGGAATAAAAGTGTCTGTATGGGAATACAGTTAACCAACAAATTTGCCAGTTCGGTTAGGTTCAAGATTATCTAGAAGGCACTTTGTGTTGTCTGCTATGGTTGAAGTTCGCCTGGCTTTCAATAATTCTCTGACCGACATCGGACCGTTAGCTAACGACGGGATTCAATCAATAGGGTTGTAAAGCTGTGTCGACTGAGAATGCTGTGACACGTGTTAAGCGTGCTGAGGAGCGTTTGCTGATTAAAAGTTGTGTTGGAAAACTGTTACAGATGATCAAACAAAAACATAGCGTCATTCCATGAAGTCTTTGACTGTTGGTTTAAGCCATATAATGATGTGCAGACTTTCCACGATGCGCTTCTCGAGATGACAAGTACCAGTGGTTGAGGAGTGTTGGAGTTCTCATTGGAGTAGATGCATTCACTCAGTGTGATTTGCAACATTCACTAAACACTCATTACTCTGAATATATTTCTTTCTTTCTCTCGTGCATTTCCGTTTATTAAATAGTTTTGCATTTCTTTTTTGCTTTATTCTTATGTGAGCTTTTATAATTAAAGTGTTGTAACTTGAACTACTGGACTCTTGTGTAAAGTTCAACGCTGAAAATTCAGTTCAGTTTACCAAACATCAGTTAGATGTAGACAACAATTCAGTATGTGAAATGATAGGAGCTAGATTTAAATCTCATTAGGAAGGTAATTGGTAATTGAGATGTAGGTGAGTCCAGCTTAAAAGTCGTGAACAGGACAAAACACACCTTCCCGAGTCTGCTGCTAGCCACTATCTACTTGCTAGAAAAAACACTACCGTAATGAGACGGAAGTCATGCATTAATCCAGACTAGATATTTAGACTCAGTAAGACAGAAAAGGATGGGAAAATATATGCGCGTCGGTGGCACAGCGCTTAGGACGCTCGCCGACCATAAACATGGTTCGGGGTTCGACCCCCCGGTCGACGCATTCCTTCAACTCGATAAGCCAGTTGTCAGACTGGTAAAGAGGAAAGGTTGGGCATGGGGTTAGCAACCCCATCCTGTAAAAATTAACACTGCTACAGAAACTTCAAGCCTCTAGCTTGGAGCCCTATGTTCCACTGGGAACGTGAATGAAAACAACAAGACAGAAAAGGATGGGGAACAACATATTTTAATAAACTGAACTAGCTCATCCAAGTTGACATGAATTGTTTTGGAGGAAATTATAAATAAGCAAGTGATACAGTCAATAATTTACAATCTGATGATGAGAAATCGAAACAGTTTCTGCGTAATTATACTTCTGTATTTTCATTACAGACGTTTCTGATGACTAACAAAGTAATGAACATGATGTTTCACATCCCATATGTTCCAAGTGGAACAAAGGGCTTTACATTTTGAAGTTTCAGAAGCGATATTGTTTTTATGGTGTAAGGTTTCTAGCTTCACATCCGACCTTCCCTCTTTTCCAAGGTGGGGAAGTACATCTGCTCGGAGTAGAACTTGGACCTCAAGTGTGTTATGCAGTTTAAATTACAATATATCACGGTGATAATTCGAAAGATCAGTCTGGACAATAGAACATCATTATAATATAACCTTAAGGAAATAGACCAACCAACACTATATACTTCAATCATCTGGAATCAAAGAACGGGGACTAAATCTATGAAGAGGTTCACCAACTTCTCATATAAGGAGAGACTGGTCGACTGCGTTTACTTTCACTCTCAAATTTGCGGTTGATGGATCAGGCCATTTTAGGATTCCGTATTTTACACAAAGGCTTATACGTCAATTTGTCGTGTCTATTTTTCTTATGAAAAAACTGACCAATGAAAAGATATCACTTTAAGTTTCGAAAATCATGGTCGAATCATGCACATCAGGAAGTTCGTTACTCCCTTAGAATTTTGGACTGGTAGATTTCTCCGCTGGAGCACGCTGTATCAACACCTTTTATGAGTCGTTCGAAGCAACATTGATTCCCAATTTTGCAGAGAATCGGGAAGATTAATATGGATAACATTTTATTTCAATAAATCACATATCATAAATCATATCAAGTTGATATGATTATGAGTAATAGTTTGTGCTCAAAACGTCATCAGTTATTATTACTGTACAACAGTGTGTGATTTATCAAAATAAAATTTTATCCGCAATGGGATCTGAAACCCGTTAGGAAATCTTCTACACTCAGCATCAGGAACAAAATTCGTATTTTCAATACCAATGTCAAGTCGGTCCGTCTATACGGGTTAGTAACGTGCACTGAGTGTCACGAAAATTGATTCTCAATTTTGCAGAGAACCGAGAAGATTAATATGAGCCTTAAGGCCACTATCCTTACTAATCTGTCAACTGTTTTATTTTCGCGTTAAGTAATGTGACAGACTGATATTCTGTATTCACACACAGATTAAGTGTATAAAGTACTAAGTAACTTGTTTAACCACCTCTCAAATGAAAGCACACAGTCTCAGTTATTTTTACAGACATTATAGATCCGTTTGAAGTGCCAAAACACATGTGGTACAACACTTTAACTTTTCAATATGGTTATTAGGTCAGAGCAGTGAAATAATTGTTTACTAGTTACATAACATTTAAGATAGATAAGATAGTCATCACCCCTGGTGATTGCAGTGAAGTAATTTGGTTAGCATGTGGGGTTTGCTACGGACAAGACTTACACGTGGTATACAGATGCAAATCAATAGGAAGCGGCCAAAACTGAAATCAATGTTTCAAGTTCTTGGCCGTAGAGGTAGAAATGTTTATTCCTCAAATCTAGATTTAGTTTATGTTGTGGATAGGAAGTATACTCACTGGACGACTTTTCAACCCGTTTTTAACCTCTGGTAAGTCGCCAACCAATCAGAATGGTTTTTTGTCCGCTGACCTAACCGATTTTTAATGTGGCTGGAAATGCATTAATAAGGTGTGTTTCCCCTCAAAAACGCTGTTACCATTTCTCTTATCTTCTGGAGTTACAAGCATGTGGGTATCTTGGCTGAACTGGAGGGGTGGGGGCCTAGTTAGCTGATAGTTTTCTGTTGGAATCCTCTAAACAATGCAGAGTTTCACTTCACTTGTATCATCATCACACACTAAGGCAATAATAGTTTGCCAATCAAGGGCTCTTGCAGGTAGTCTCACCATCAAATGATAAATTGTTGACACTTATTTCATTCTTAGTAAAGGTTGTGTATAAGTTTCTCTAGATATACTGTTTCATTGTCTCTGCTTCAACAAAGCACACAGGATTTCCAAACTGACATATATTCGAAAATTCAGTTGTTTCTGCTATCCAAAAAAAACTGAACTGTCAATTCTATTTTTATTTGGTGATTATATGTCACCCATGCAAAATATGTTACTAGAATGCAGACTGACACTCATTTGGCTGGCTAAGTTCATTAGACAACGCACTTAAGTCAACGTTTAGGAAAATATCTTCCATTGTCATCGCTAATAATTACAGTTTATTTAGGGACATGGATAATGAACAAAGATCAGACGAACATATTCGCAGGATAAAAACAGTTCATGCTTTTTATTTCATGGTTTTACAACAGCCACCCACCATCAGCCTAAAAATGACATATCAGTAAATAAATATAAAACATGCTTCAAAATTATTTCAACTCAAAAAGCACAGTTGTGCAACAACAAACGCAAATAAAAGATGTTGAATAATCTAACGATCAGACTCTTTATATATAATCTGATCGAACTGTCGAGGGGAGACGGTGGTGGTGAAAAGAAATGGTAAGTAGAAGTGAGTTTATTACGTTAACAAACAATTAAGTGAACTGCAAGAATAGTAATGAGTTCAGTCTACTAAGTCATAATAAAAAAAATTGTAACGCAACAAAAACACAGAAACACAGTACGGACGTCTAGTTACCACGCCAAGAGGAGATAATTCACACTAATTTTCTGCATACATAGATCAGGCTGAAATCGTTTGACAGCAATGGCTTCTACAAACCAAGGTAACTGCGGTTTTATCTCTATACTGATTATTTTAAAAGCTTCATTGATTTCGACTGAATACTCTGTGTCAATCAGCTGCTTAGCGATTGCAGTTGGAAACAGTCTTAATCTTCTTAAGAAGACTGTAGTTAATTTTCTCCTCTCAGTCCTTACAATGTATTTGATACCACAAGTGCATGTGAATTCGTAAATGCAGTTAGAGTTGACATGAGCAGGATACCCATATACTTTAAACTGTATTAGCGAGCATTTTATATTATAAAGAGGAATCAATCTACTGGCGGGAAAATATCCTTTTCAAAGAACCTTGGATTCTTTTTTTCTGTTCTTGTTGACGCTTGTTCCTCTTCGTACACTAGGCAAATAAAACCGATTGCTTCTCAACAGTTACGGCCTTCAGTCTAGACATTTCTTCTCTTCTTGGGATATCCATTCTCCAACAGAACCTTTTCAATAATCACGAGATCTTCACTAATCTTCTTTTCTGGACATAATGCCCTCACTCTACTAAACAGTATTCTGGCAGAACTTCGTTTGTAATCGATTGGGCTAAAACTATGATAACTCAAGTATTGACCCGTCCACGCTTCTTTTCTATGGATTATCTTATCGATGGTCCCACTATTTCTTTGTTTTATGCCAAGATCTAGAAAGTTCAGCTGGTTGTTGCTTTGACAATCCACTATAAACTTAACATGAGGATGAGTTTTTCAAGCATGGTTGACGCATTCTGTATATCACAGCGAACAGCAACGGCATCGTCAAGATATCTGCAGTTATATGTTGTCTTCTCTATTTCGGATTTCAGTCGCATCTGTCCAAGGTAGGCCATGAGCATGTCTGCAAGAACAGGGTCCAAAGACGAATCCATAGACACCCCACAAATCTGCTGGTCTCGTTAATCAATCGAGACGGAAAATTCTTCGTACATATAACTAATAATTGTCTGAACTCATTTTCAGGAAGTGGGAGTAGTTCATACTGCTGGTACATGATTCTCACTGTTTGCTCATTTGGCATATTTGTAAATAATGAAGAAACGTTGTATGATATCACGAGTTTATCTGAAATATTCAACTAACCAAGTATTCGTATGAAAAATCAAATGAATCTTTGACACTATGAACTGCCAACTTTCTTCGGATTGGTTCCGATTTTTGTATCAGCCAACTATGTAGTTTATAGCACGGCGATTTCACCACTGTCACCACTAATTTCATTGATATGTCTGATATCCTGGACGGCATGCGTCAACTTCTTGGTTTAAGTTCGTTACAGGTATTGTAGTCAGTCAGTTCTTTCTTAGAAAACCCTTAGGATATGTGTTCATTGTTTTCGAAGGCTGTTGTTGCATAGGTTTTTTTTGACATATCTGCCTAAAATCTCATCGTGTCATTAGTAGCACTGTCATTTTAAAAATGTAATCCTTCTGTGGTAGCAGCCACCTTAACATACGACCTTCAATAACCAAATAGAGTTGCAGGTGGTGTAACCAAACCGAATTATAGAGCAGAACCAGAAACATATAAGGATCTCTGAATCATCTTTCCAACAAATTCACGGCTTTCATTGATCCTCAATTCTGACCAGTTGCTCAAGGTTAGTGGCGTGGTCCATCACGGATGACTTCTATAGTTTGACTTTCCTCCTGCAGATTCATTATCACGACACCAGAACCCCTACCTGGTCTAAGGAAAACAATTTTGTCACTGCTCTGTGGGTATTTTAACTTTGATATGTGCGCTTTAGTAAAGAACTTCAGCTGGATAGCAGAAGAAATATGCTACTGCTCTGAAATATCGACCGTCTTGGACTTAAACCACACCTTTGTCTCGTCTACAGGTTTCAAATCAGACGGCTGATGGTTTAAATACTCAAACTGTGTTTCTGTACCAATTCTGATATAACCAAGTTATCAAAGTGACATTTAAGTCTTAAGAGGTGGCACCTCTGACTCAACACCGCTTCATTTTATGTTTAACAGACTGTATGTGAATTTTCTCAGAGATGGTATGAATTCTTCGTGTAGTTCGCCTACTCCTAGCGGTTTTCTGAGTTTCTTTCCAAATCATATTAAGGTCTTTATTTAGAGATCGTGAACAGAGTTAACAAACTTGATTCGATACACAATATTGAGACTGTCAAATCTAACTGAGACTGATTTTTGAGGCCAGACAAACTAGATCGATCAAACTGGCTCCAACTCAAAAGGATCACATTGCATCACTAAATTACATATCAGGCCATCTCAGAAACATATGCCAACTTTGATAGGTGGTACCAATTTCCTGTTGAGGGTATATTATTCAACAAAAATAACTGACGTAAATTTTGTGATGACAGCTAACTTGAAATCAGTCAAATATTCACAACCCAACAGGTAGGAATTAATCCTCCGTTCATAGATGACTGATTAGCTGATGCACTCCCCGTAATCCTAGTGGCAGGTTATGATATCTAGTGTCTACAAAGTTGAGTTTGATGACAGGTACTCACCGATGGCATTAGATGATATCATGTAGTGAACTGACAGAAGTTGGAATCCATGGATCACTGGATGACTGGATGATCAACGAGCTAGCCATATAATCTGAAGTTTGTTACCTTAGTGGGAGATGGGTGATTAGCCGGCACTAATGAAGAGCCAAAAACAAGAACGGAGCAACTGTTTACTGCATCCCAGTTGTCAATATTACTCTAACTGATGTCTGTTCGAGATGAAATCTATCGCAAAACCAAATAGATACATATATTTCCAAGAACCTGGTGCCCAGCAAATATGCGAAAAGAAATGGAAATGAAATGAACATACGCTGAGGAAAAGTCAAATCTCACACCAGACGCTGAGTGGAACCAGAATGAGAGGTAAGCGACGTGGCGTGAAAAGAATCATAGGAGGAGGAGGTGAACGCCTATGAGCAGTTGTCGCGCTATTTCAAAGTAGTTGCAGAAAGAGAACCACTGATGCCCTATGCTCTATTCGGTACACATTCAATGAATAACAACAATAACATTAATGTTAAGGCAAAATAAAACAGGAAAACAAATACCAGCTAACCTTAAATCGTCTACCCATAATGAAGGGTTCATCAGGATTGTGTTTGTATAAAATTTTACGTAGATTTTCAACAATAACATAAGAGTCATCATCTGCTTTCAAAAAGTAATCGTAATCATTAACATAATGCTTTGCAATATATTTGATCGCTGCAGCGGTTTTATTCCATAGCATATCACGGCCTTCCTTGTTAACTGCGGCTGAACATCAGCAGTTAATGCATACAAACACACGTAAACAAGTGGTTAGATGTTCAATGGGAGGTGAGAGGACCATGGAAAAATTAAAGTAAAAAAACAAAGTAACAAAACTGTAACAAAAAATTCAATACAACAGTGAAGTTTATCCGTGCTTAATATAAATGTAATCTGTTTGTTTTCAGGCAAAGCCAAGCCAGTTTAAAAAATATCCCTTAGGATTCCGAAATGATAAATCATAGGCCGCATCAATGCATCAGTTCAAGTATAGGACAGATTTGAAATCAAAGCTAACTGAATATCCTGTAACATGGTGACTGAAAGCTAAAGTAGTTCAACGGTCAAAGGCTTAATGTGTCAACAAGCCGGGATCATGTTTCTGAAGAGTCCTGGAATCGGATGAAGTGGCTGTCTAATGAATACTCCAATGGTTTTATAAACACATCTTTAAGTTTACAAAGAAGTTAGCATTTTCTAAATGTTTGTTTAGAAAACCATGGATGAAAAGCAAGCACTGGACCTCTGTTTTGTCCTAGTTTGTGATTCTTGACCAGTGTGTACTCATGAACTCACTACAAATAGAACCCGGGACCTGTCGGTCATGAGATCAGCCCATCAATCATTCAGTCACAGGCTCAAAAACAATAAGATCTCCACAAGTCTGACACCTGAATATTAACACTCAGGTGTAATCTTGATTGTCTAAGAATGAACTCTTACATTCACCAGATGCATGAATCAAGTCATAATAGGTTATTTAAAAATTTAAACATTAAATTATGTGATAAGAAAAATATATTGATTAGTAATCTTTAAAATAACAGGTCGAAAACTCTAATCTAACCAACAGAGATTTTATTTTAAAGCAGCTCAAATCAACAATCAATACGAGTGGAATGATGCACCTTCGTTTTGTAACATTTAAATGAAAAATCAATATAAAGCCTATTCGGTCATGCTAAAATACCACTTTATGACTGATATGAACCTCTTCTCTTTTATTAAAATAAAAAGATCAATTTCGAATAAAAAATATGCATCCGAAAGTAAAAGACAAAAAATGAAACACAATGTGAATATAAAATGATTTCAAGGAAGTAACAAAAGATGAACGTCCAGTTATTGGATCGTAGGGATTTGGTCGATGTCAATGCGGAAACCCGAATTGTCATAAATAAGAATTCATGATTGAATGGCCAGCATGCACACCTCACAACCTGTGTTCGATCTCATAAGGTTGTGTGTGGGTGTACACTAATGAAGAGTCCCAACTTAGGAAAAAAGACCTGTCTACTAGTCGTTACTTCTCAGTAGTTCTCTCAAAACGATGCCAGTTCGTGTTGAAATCTGTATTAGAAGAAGGAACTAGTGATTTTGATAAGGGAATTAATGACTTTTAAATCTGTATGAAAATAAGGAAATACTGGTGAAGTGACCTAATTGAACGGTGATGACAACCCATGCTACGGTCAGCAAATACTCTTCATTAAAATAACATTCAATGACGAGACTGTTTGTAACTGTCAAACAGCTATTAATGTAACGGGAAATAACCGAAGATGCTGTGGAAATTAAAGTCAAGGTAGGATTCGAAATCCTGACTTACTGACTGTAAGTATGGTGCCCTACCAAATGAGCTACGAGGAAATTCGTAGAAATTAATGGTATATATATATATATATATACGATGTTCTCTAATAGAGGTTAATAAGCATTTCTATTTCTATGCTACAGTTCCTTGTCACCTGCTTATCCTTTCCAACAGGTCAATTGAACTTCACTATCGAGGGAAGATATCTGTGAATAAAAGTTGTAGTCTTTCGGAGGCGCTTTTGAAACATTTTAAAGACACTGGATTGATGTTAGTAATGGAAATTCATATCGTGTTTCTTGTGTTGAATGTTCTAGATCTCCACAGTGATTTCACAGGATTTAATGTCCATCTCTGATTCCCAATAAAGTCGGTGATGATGCCATGCAACAACTTATGACACTGAATTAGTATAGTGTTTATATCAGGGGTGAACAAAAATCCGGAAATATCAATTACAGAATTCTATCCCCGTGGTCGCGCGATGACACTGTACCTATGTTGTTTGTAAGTTACAGTTGAAGCTTTGAGTGTGCCTATCGACAGGCATCATCATAGCTTCCTAAACTAAGACCAATCATCTGTTCTAGGCAGTCGTAATCTTCTGATCCTCTAAGAGGCAGATAGATGCATTGTTATAACAAACAAAAATGCTTACTAATACAATATTAAACATGTTGGCGGCATATTTCATTTTACTTTGCAGTCTTTCACACGATTTAGAAATATGAATCTTTCATACCACCCCAGTGACTGGACTTTAAATTCATCGAAATGCTTATAACAATATCCCATGGCCTGGTTTCGTATGACGGTGGGGTGGTTGACCTTGACATTTTAATCCTACTGGTTAGTTAGTTGCATGCCTTTTATGGATATATGTGGCACTATGCCAGTGAAGTATAACGTCAAAGAATAATACTACATTACAGAATGTATATATATATATATCCCTTTTATTATTCATTTCAAAGGTGTTATTAATTAACAATGTATTTTAAACACTTGGTCTGTAGATCGAGTAGTTTGAATTCTATTCACTGCCCAACTAAATTGATGTTATGTTAGTTTATTAATTCAAGCATAGCTTTCAGTTACATCACTGTTTATCAGCTGAGTTGTAAGACAGGGTATTGTGGATTTGAATTTCTTACGTATCGACACTTTCACACACAAAAGGAGAGAGATTCGGGATAAACCTCAAGTAACAATAAAGTCAGAGACTCCAGCAGTATGCTTTTCACTGGATGGCAGAGTGACTCTTGCAAAACCGGATGAGTTAGACAAACTGATCACTGGTTTAGAAAAAGGGAAAGTACAAATATTAGAAGAGAAAGACATTGGATGCATTTCATTCCATGGTTTCTCTTCAATTGCATACAGGCTGTAGTGCTGAATACAAGGAGTTTTATGCAGCTTAAGAGAAACCACAGGGCAAAATTGATCTCATTTTACAATTTCTCTGATGTTCGTTCAGATTAATGAATAGTAGTTGTGTATAAGGCTTCTAATGATCACTACTGCATTTTTAACACAGTAATCATGATGTAAACTGTGAGAAAACGAAACCCTGGCTCAGGTGGGACCTGAATATCAATTTTCATCTTCTGACCAGTCTAATTACACCAAGAATACGAAATATTATGAGGGCATAGAAATTATCCTTAACCTTTAAGACATGTAAAACAATAGCAGCCTTCATGTGTCTTCTACTTTGGAAAAAGCTCTTGTTTTCTGTCTCCAGTCTGTTGATATAATATCACTTATCTAAAGAATCAATATCCGATAGCTTAATGTATTAAATTACACATGGAATATATTTACTCAACTGTAAATTATTTGCTAGACGCCTATTAAATCTCCATAATATTTCAATTTTTCATTCGGTCTTCTTTTAGTAAACATAAATCCATAAAATTGTTTCCATTCCTTCTGAATGTTTACTCATTCAAAAGTGTATTTCGAAATAATACAGAGTGTTTGTAGATCAGATGAGTGATTCGGATTTGGCTGTATTTTCTAAGATGGTTGATTTAATTAAGAAGCTTCCATTCTCTTAATAGACAACGTCTTCAGCACAATCGTTACTGTCAAGTGAACTGTGTGAATTCTCCATGCAGGATATTATTGTATCTCCTATCAATCATTTTTACATTTACATAATTGACATGAATCATTTTTATTCACTTGGAATTTGAAATTTCTCACCATGTGATTATTTATTTGTTACCAGTTGGTAAATTTGATCTATAGTAGTGTCTTTGTTAAACTTAAATCGAAATACCAACAAGAAATCATCCTAATGGACCACGAGCAAATTTATCCCACCACATAAAAAGCATATCCCTGAAATAACAGTTCAAATACTTAGATCACTTGAAACAGATACAGCGCATAAGCTAACACAATCACTTCATTCAAATCGTGCAAAAAAGAGGATCCAACAGCATTTACAAAATAAGTTGTATAAACGACGACGACAAAAACACCACATTGGTCAAGAGGGGGGAGTCCCTTCGAATCAGAATCTGAGAGCAAAAATTAGCTGTAGGAAGACATAAAATGTATTCTTTCACATCAATGCATGTAGACAATTAAGGACACCAATTTGGTTGAGAGAAGGCAGATAAACTGTAAACAGAGTAAGCCCGAAAAATGCTGAGGAGTTAGTTTCTAAAGCCAGATACTCGGATGAGTCGGCGATTAACGCAAACATTACTGTAAATCAAATTTATCAACTGGTAAAAATTAAATAGTCACATGGTAAGAAATTTCAAATTCCAAGTGAATAAAAATGATTCATGTCAATTATGTAATGTAATGCATGGAGAATTCACACAGGTTCACTTGACAGTAACGCTTGTGCTGAAGACGTTGTCTATGAAGAGAATGGAAGCTGCACAATTAAATCAAGCATCTCAGAGAATACAACCGAATTAGAAATATTTTTCAATAGTACTTTTAATAACAATTCCTGCTTCTAATATAAATAAGTATATATTTTTAAATATAATGGTCATTTGTCACGCATCATCAGCATTTACACAGTCACTGGGAGAATTAACGCAGTGGATAAGTCTCAGTTCCTAGATTAGATTTTTGAGTAGTGTACACACGTAAACTTGTTACAGATATTACTCAGTACCTCCAGGTTTTGAGGCGAGTCGGAAAATTCAGAACTCTACCAATTTGGGAAACAGTGCAACCGTTGAACGATCGTATCGATGAGTGACCGCTCACCTTGACAATGTCGTCCACTAATACTTCTGGAGAGCCAAATCCGACATACATTGACCAAATGTTATCAGGGTGGGTTACATAGATATAAGGTACAACTATAAGTTCACTCACAATGGCAGAGTCTTTGGCAGATCTGATGCTATGAAGTTATGAGAACATCAGCAGAATATCT